GCTGCAAGGACCCTTTCTTGGATTGGTGAGGCCCGAGGTCTACCTTGTGCCAAATGGGAAGAGAGGGGTGTTTCATGGTGTTTCACCAAGATTAGATTTCGAGAAGGACTTGTCTTCCAAGCACAGCTAAGCTTTCAAGATCCAAGTTTTGGCTGAAGAGGATTTTGAGGCGATTTTCCCAGATGTGCTTGCGCATCATTCTTGGAACTGGAACTGGAAGGTGTGCGTTTCGCACCTGAACTGAACTATATATATAATGCATACATACAAAAACATATACATATATATTCAATATACCGTTTCTCGAGGTCACTCTCCACAAACATGAGCTATGACGTCAGTGAATGAACCAGACTTTCATTCTTTACTCTTCTTGCTCGCACTCCTTTTTCCCTCCTTTTGCACACAGCCTTGCTGTAAAAGGATCTTTTGGCCAAAAACTCGCTGATGTCAAACCAGGCGACCCGAATCCCAACCGACTCCAGTCGGGACTCCAGTCTTCTCGCAGGGGACGAGTGTCTCCCTGCTCGCACTCGCACTTGTGAGATGCCGGACAATGCCAATATCATGTGGTGAGGGCTGCAGACAGTCGCAGACAGACAGTCGCATGAGATAGCTTTTGGTTGGTGTCCAAACGTTGGAAAAAGAAAGAAGAAAAGCACCCTCAGCCGCGAAAGAAGAAAAGCTGCTGCCCTTGATTTCACCTGCCTGGATGAGGGGAGCTGAGTTTGTTTTTTTAATAGCACAGAAGAATCTCATCCATGGTGACCAGAAGAATCTCATCACTGCGTTTGCCGTTGATGGATGGGTCTCGTGCTCTCGTCTAACTTCTGGTCCCTCCCGATCGATTGGGCGAAGTGAAGGACACCGACCTGGACTTCTTTCATCAATATGGGGGCGATCCTTGCAGCGATCTTGGTGGATGGAGTCCTGCTTGGCCGGCTGCAGACCTACCCTCCCTCAAACAATCGTGATGTTGCGTGGAACATGACCCCTAGAAAGACCATTTTCCTCTAGAAACAGGTGATTGTCCACTTCCATGATTGTTTCAGGGAGGGTACTTCTCAAACTGCGAAATGGCCAGGGTGTTCGTTCTGAATTCCTGTCGGACACGTTGAACCCTGTCTGACAGGTTGAGTAAGGGCTCCCTGATTTTGGTAGGGCTGGTTCACATCTGGGGCTTTCACGTGATCGGTTGCTGTGAGAGTCAGTGAAGAGTTTAGGAACATCCCCATGCAGTTTTTGCTCCACGGAAGTCAAGTCAGAAATCAACATGCCAATCGAGGGTGAAAGTACTCTGCTGGTGAAACAATTATATAAGCCAGCCAAGTGGGCAAAACAGAATCTCAAAGTCAGAAATCATGATCGTGCATGGCTCAGATCTCTAAAGGGCAGTCATCCAAATGTACTGATTCCGCTCTCGAATCAACATTCGAGAGGCCGGATGGGCAACTCAACTCGACCTGACTTGCCTGCAGTCAGGTCCATTCAACCAGCTTCAACCACCTCCAACCACATTTAACCGCCTTGACCTGTAGTACAAAGCCAAAGGGCTTACTTGCAATAACTTTTGATGATCTTTCCTTCAAACTCCTCTGCTTCGAACATGTGATTGAAACGCACAGAACACAGGCATTGAAAACAGGTACTTTCCAAGTTCAGAACACGGACAACAAGTGGAAGCGCTTTTCTTCTTCGTTCGAACGGCGGTGGAACCGAACTGGACGAACCGAACCGGTCGCGGGTGGGCGTGACCCAAGACCCAAGACGGCGAGTCGGGCGGGTTGGTCAGTGGTTCCGAGCAGCGCGGCTCGGGACGTTTGATCGACGGAGCGACACAGCTTTGAACACCAGAGCATCGACACGCGACTCGCGGCCATCGACCGGAGTTGTCCTTCGGTGCAAAAGTCAGGTGCTGCCAATAGCTTGGAAAGGGGTGATTTTTTCACCACATTGACGTGTGGGGTTTTTGTTTTTAGCGTAGTATCCGCTCCTTCCTTCCTTGCGTTGCAGGCGCGGCACTTGGTGCACTCCAGGGGACCCACCAATTGTCACCAACCAATTGCCACCAACCAATTGCCACCAACCACTTGTCCGCTCCTGTGTCTTGTGAAGTTGTTAACATGTGGGGCTATCCGGTCCTATAATTAGTGATGATGGATAGTAGACAGGCCCGTGGTGATGTTGCTGTTCTATGGGGGGGAACCATGAGCAGCCTGACTCGAATGACTCCAGTGACGCCGATGGCAGCGGCTCGCCGCGGCGACGCGCCTTTCAAAGAGACAGAACAGCAGTGCACGCCACACCGTTGGGTCTTGAATGTGGGTGTGGCAGCCACTTGAGATGTAGAATCTTGAAGTTGGAAACCACATGAACCGATCTGTTGCCTGTTAACACAAGTAGGCCAATAAGTTTCAGGTTTCTTTATGACTGACAAGTTTAGCCAGGCCATTTTTTATATTTTTTCTTTGGACAGTCTCTTTGGTGGAGTACGCAGACGCTGTTCAGCTATGCCAGCTAGAGTATGGGCATAGCCGCGATTAGCAAACAACAAACCACTTGAACAGAGTCAGAATATAAATAAACAAACATATTGCACAGGTAATTATATAGCCTGAACTGAAAGGTACCCTAGGTGTTTGGAGAACTGTTTTTTGTCCGAGACATTCTCAAACTCTGAGGCCACTGAAGGTAGGGCCGGCCTCATGCCCTCTATTGGGAAGAACACAGAATGAGGACCGATCGGCACAATGAACTCAGTCCCAAACTTCACATGGCGTGGTGTGACAAGCTGGCCTGGATGAGTTAATTGGCATGGAGCTGATCTCAGAAACGGGTCCCACGGCGAAAGCGAGCCGTGAACCGTGGTCAGCGGTGACCTCTAGATCCGGTGAACGTGCCGAACAGACGGCAGATCAGCGAGGGTTGTTGGGGGGATGTTGAACCTATGTTGAAGCTGTTTGAAAGAGAGTGAGAGCGCATTCTGGGCATTTTTGGGGAGATGCCTTCAACCTTGCTGATTCTTTTTGCACCATCTGTTTTGTAGGTTCTTTCTTTGGCCGAATGTCACCAGCAACTGTTGCAACCGCTATCCTTCATGCCACTGCGTCAATCTTTCCCTCGGTGTGGATTGTTCACAAAACATGAGACAACTCCGGTTCACCCTCAAGGCGGGAGAGACCAAGTGAAGTCAGAAGGCAGGCAGGTTGGCTGTCCCGAACCGGTGTATGAGGACCTTTCCCGAAGCGGTGTCCACACTGTCCACTGGATCGAGGTGATGAGATCTTGGTGACTGTCCACCGCTCAATTTGCTTGGGCTGGACTCACCGCGTCGCGCTTCGCGCTGCGCACGGAGCTTCTGCGGCTTCTGCCTCGCAGCGTGCTGCGCACGGAGCTGAGAGCTCCTGTCTCACAGAACTCTCCACTCGGTCCGAGAACTCTAGCGACAAAGAATTCGAGCTCGGTTACGGATCAAGAGGTTTTCCCCTTTGACTGGACATGACTGGACATCAATGATACTAATTACTCCATGGGTTATACAAGAATGGTGAGATCGCCTCTCTCCCTCGCTCTCTCTTAACTTTGCTACATGCCAGAGGCAGCTGGCATTTCTAAGCTTGGATGAGCACTGACTCCAGAGACCTGGTCGTGTCTCATCAGAACATCCTCTCAGTCTCCTTCTCCTCTTTCTCCTCTCAGTCTCCTTCTCCTTCTCTGACCGGTGTCTATGTCTCCTTCTCACACAAAAAGAGCGCTGGCTCGGGGGGGACCATGGTAGTCGCACCAGGGTTCGACCGATATGGAAAATGATGGAAGATGATGGAAGTATATAAAGGGTCGAACTGCCGGGTGTCAGGGTTCATATAGGCCCATATAAAAAGGTTGATTTCAGTGAAAAGCTCTGAGAATCCCCCCCCCCAAAATGCATCGGCCTTTCCGGGGCTTACGATGAGCGAACCGAAGACCGCTGGAGGGTCTAATTCCTGCAGGTTCTGACCTGGATCTGAAGGGTCGAGGCAAAAAGGAATCGCTTTCGAAGCTTCATCACGGTTCATCACGGTTAGCTGACATTTCCAACCCATTTTTCATGAATCATGAGTCTCTTTTTGGGTGCTGTTCAATCAGTTCACCCCCAGAAACTGTTTGGTCACATCCTCGTGTTGGATTCGTTGCCATTGCCTCCCATGGTGGGTGTCCGGACCGCCGATGCAAGGGCCAACGAGCCTGCAAAAAGAATATGTCTTTTAGTTCACGACCACAGATTCCTCAAATGTGAACCGAGGGGGATGATCCCCAGAGGGGTTGATCCCGTGGTAGAAAAACACTTTCAGCGAGAGAGAGAGAGAGAGAGAGGAAAGACACTTGGACCGGACACGTCTTCTTTGCAGCGGGTTTGGCAGAGAACTATTCTGGACATGAAGAGAACATAAGAGAGCGGCTGGAAACACCGTTTTTGTGACCAAATTGGGTGGGGCACCTTTTTCAACAGCAAATTTGATGTCACTGCTGATGGCCCTCCCAGCTGATTTCCAGCTTTGCCATGTTTAGCCGATCACGAAACGTGGGCGCGTTTTTCAGGGCGCAGGGAAGGTCGATCTATTACCCAGTGGTTGGGTGTCCAGTGCGTCGCTCAAAACATGGGTTCGACCTCCCAGTTCGACCCATTGAAAGGTTCGGGACATCACCAGACTACTCATTGGACGGCCGGCAGGGGGTCTCCAAACACCCATGAGAATGGGGGGCGACCCGCCAACCACTGGGTTTGGTTTTGCTCGGACCGGTGAACATCCACTTCCCATGAGTTCAATGAGTGTGTCTAACTATTTCAATCGCCCCGAGTCAGGTTGCAATTCACAATGTGTACCAGTAGCGATGCCCTTGTTACTAATTAGCTTCTAGCTACTAGTCGCTCATGCACTTGTTACTAGTAGCTTATGCACTTGTTTCGTTCGTTTCCTTGTTGAAGTTTCTTTTTGGCCACCGATGTCCATGTGGCGCAGGTGAGTCCGCCGGGGTGCCGAGTTCAGAGCGTCAGGTCGGTCTCAGAAGTTCGCCTCCGTTGGGGTCCTTTGGTCAGAGAAGGTGAGAGCTGAAGTACTACGGTTGCATGGAAGGTGCGGGAAAGTTGAACGCCTATCCAAACACTGACAAGCAATTTTTTTTGCATGATGGTCTTGATGCAAGCTAGCATTCAATATGTTCTGCCTTCTCACGGGATTTTCGATGCTTTGCTTGATTTCAGGTATATAAAAAAGATGGTATAAACCATGTATAATGCAATACCAATGGCCACACGTGTCTTGCGCAGGTCAACAAGTACCTATTTGTAGGGTCTGCCCTATTACCTGTAACAGTCAGTAAACAATCATCATCATTTTTGAACAAGGCCTTTACTAACCATCATCATCCACTGTTACAGGTAATAGGATAGACCCAACCTATTTGGATATATTTCGTATCGCAGCACAGATCAATTCCGGGCTTCTTTCTGGTACCGATTACGTGAGGAAAACATGAAGACATCGAAAAAAAGAACTTGCTCTCTAAGACTTTGGAACGTGTGTTTTGTTTTAGAGGCCACAGCCTTAGGTAGAGAATCGGGGCTGTGTGAGGAGGATATACTCAGAGACCAGACCAAACTACCCAGGCGGAGCGGTTGTCCTGTGCAAACCCGCTTCTTTTCGAGCGAAAGTCATGCCGTTTTGAACTCAAAGACAGGCGGAAGGCCACTGTTTCACAAAAAAACATGTGCATCACCCATTCACCGGTTTCAGCCAGGTCTTGTTGTTTCAGCCATCATGTCAACTCGCACGGTATGTGGCGTATTCCAAGTGTTTTCCACGCGGCCGACGCTGATTAGGCCACGTTTCCTCTGCGGCAGGACTGTGACCGCTCTACCAGCGGACGAGTTTGGCTTATGATACATGTATCTATCACACTCTCATTCTCATTCTCATTCTCATTCTCATTCTCTCTCTCTCTCTCTCTGTCTCTTTGTTTACATGTATAGTTCTGCAAGCATATACAACTCTTGTTCATCATATGCATTCATATTCATATGCCATGTTTCTTCAGTGCCACCACATGCCTTTGCAGCTCCAAGGGTAGACCTTGACATCCGGAGGTGAATGATTTCAGCAAGACACAGCAAGGCGGTCACAAAGCAGTGCCAGACTGTCCACAGGAGCCCTACCATCCAGGCGGGTCAGCTCATCGATGGCTTCACCTGCCTGCGATCCAGCGCATCGAAGATTCCGGGCATGCCAGGGCAGACAGGAAGCACGTCCTCAACCAAAGCCAGTTCTTTCGTAACCAAACCCATGTCTGGCGTTTCGCTGGCTCACTCTTTTTTTCCTGCCACTTCTCTTCTTCAAACACATGACATCATGAGCCATATGTATCCATCAACTGCCAAGTGCCATGTTTTCATGAGCCATCCACTGCCGATTCACCTGGCCTCCAGAGACGCACCAGAGACGAAAGCCAGGCTTTCAGCAGCCGCAGAAGGTGCCGAGTCAAGCGGCCACGAGACGTGGGACGGTGGATGATGAAGTCCGGAGTGTTTGTTGAAGGAGTGACATGGACATGGATTTTGGAACACACACACTTTGACATTGGGTTTTCAGTTAACTCAATTCCCCGAGAAAAGGAATGGCTCAACGGCAAGGTGAAGCGTCCGATCACTTGAAGGTGTTTGAAAAAAGTGTTTCTCGTGATGCATGACTGCAGAAAATTAGTTGATGATTACTTAGCAGACCGAATTAACGCCGTGCATGGAAACCTGGTTTGGGGGACGTATCATGAAAACCACCATGAAAGCAAAAAGAAAGTAGAACAGCTTGGGCAACAGTTGATCGCAGGTACGTTTGCACCCAGGTGGGGTGTCTTCGTTGGCCGGAGACCCCCCACCTGGCTCCGGCCCCCTGCATGTAAAAACTCTTGGAAACAGAGTGTGACACACACACTCAGCCGCTTTGCGGCGCTCTGGCGCAAAAACCTAAATAGGCACCTAAAAAGCCTTAGCAAAGAAAGAAAGAAAAGCAGAAAGAGCAGCGCTAAAGGGCAGGAGAGAAAGATAGGTGTAGCAAAAGGTGAATACTTAGCCCTTGACTGGGGCAGGGAAACGAGCTTCAAGAACCACCTAAAAAGCCTGAAAGAAAGCCCAAGAAACGACGAAAAACACAAGAAAGAAAGCGCGGGGCAGGGAGGGGGTGTATGTCCATGTGTGTGTACATGTGTGTGTCTGAATACTTAGCACTCTAGAGTTACCGATTACTTAGCAGAAACTAATTAGGTGCAATAGTTAGGGAGCGGGACTTTAATCTTAAACCGCCCGGGTAGAGTAGACTAGAACAGGGACAACAGAGGGAAAGGCACCGAACACAAGTGTGTCGAGTACCATTTCCCTCTGTTACCCTAATTAGGTGGGGGGTAGAGAACTCGGCGGGGGGGGGGGGG